AGGGACTACAGCCCAAAAGCGCCATACCTGCATAAGGAAGGACCCGACAGTCAACTTCCCCACACCAAATTGGCTGCCCATGGATCGGTAACTGTCGGACATGGAGAGCTTCCAGACAGCAATGGCAACCCGCTTCTTCAGGGGGATGGCGGGTCACATCTGGGTGTCCTGTTGTCTGAGGGGAGGGGTGAGCCAGGCACACAGCTCCAGGAACGCCTCCTTCCTCATACAGAAGTTGTGGAGACACTGCTGGTCGTCCCACCGCTCCATCACGAGACGGTCCGCCAGTTGGAACTGGTGTCCAGCTGCCAGAACCGTCTGTTAACTGTAGCGTGCGGTTGTAAGCACATTGCTCCTGCACACAGTCAGAGGTTCCCGATGATGAGCTCCAAAAGAGGGGATCGAGTTCATGCAGGGCCATGAGGGCAGCATGCCTAGACGCAGCTCTGGCTCTATGGCAAGGACTGAGGGGAGGGGTGAGCCAGGCACACAGCTCCAGGAACGCCTCCTTCCTCATACAGAAGTTGTGGAGACACTGCTGGTCGTCCCACCGCTCCATCACGAGACGGTCCGCCAGTTGGAACTGGTGTCCAGCTGCCAGAACCGTCTGTTAACTGTAGCGTGCGGTTGTAAGCACATTGCTCCTGCACACAGTCAGAGGTTCCCGATGATGAGCTCCAAAAGAGGGGATCGAGTTCATGCAGGGCCATGAGGGCAGCATGCCTAGACGCAGCTCTGGCTCTATGGCAAGGAGTGTGCTGTGGTGTCCAAAGGCATGGCAACCAAAGCACGCAGTGGAAATGCTTTGCTATCCCTTGGAGAGGTAGGCGAGCAAGCAGAAGACCCTGAGAAACCGCTGTCCAGGGGGGTCCCTTTAAGCACGCATCTCAGCTAGCCCTAGGCAGCAGCTCCAAGAAGCAACTGCTGACCTAATGCCCTGCCTGAACTGGTTCCAGATGGCCTTAAATGCGAGATAGCATCCAGTCAGTATGGGTGCTCTCTTTCGAAAAAGCACATCACTGTTTCATTGCGTTTTTTGCATGTAGATGTTCTATTTCGAAATAAGCTTTTCTGGAAGATCTCTTCCAGAAAAGTTCATTCCAAAAGAAACATGCAGTGTAGATGTACCTGTAGAGAAGTAGTATCTTTAATAGTCTCACCACTGGTTCTTCTCAGGCTGGTAACCCTACAAGGCGGTGAATCAGACCAGAGGACTAGGTTAGTGTCAAGCAGTAGTTCTCAGAGTTGCGAGCTTCTTTTGTGGGTTTGGTAAACTCTTCTTTGTTATCCTGGAGGAGGATAGAGTTTGTCCACATGGGCTCAGCTAACTCTGAGGTCCCACTCCCATGTTCTGACCTCAGTTTCTGAGTCCATTGGAAGGGGCAGGCAAACGGGTTTCTATTGGCTGTTGCTGAATGGTTTTCCGTTCTCTGGTTCTCCAGTGCTTCCATTGATATCCAGCAGGTGGCATTAGTGTATAACAAATGTCTTCAATCCATAAAAAGATTTGGTGTTGCATTCATTTCAGGGATTTCACTTTTGTTTCCTTCTGTCTATATTATCTAAAGTGTGAATTGGAATCTCTGCTCATAAAGCCATTTCTTTGTTAGCTTCTTATATCTTTCTGAGACAGAATGTGGGTGAGATCATATCTTTTAGTGGACCAGCTTCTGATGTTGATTATAAGCTTTTTTTATTTCAGAAGAAAGCAAACAAAATCCAGCTCCTCTAAATGTAGAGGCCTTAGTCCATACATTGTTTGATTCTATCAAATGCCTTGCATTTCACATCTTTCAAGGCTTATGATGGAATAAGAAACATTATTTTGAAAAGAAAAAAGACAGGTTAATCAGATGTAAAGAGATAACACCTTTAATTCAAAAAGCAGATACATGTACAGTTTCTAATTTGGGATAAGGATAATTGGTTTGGATTGTCTGGTGTATCAGGAAGTTGACCTTTATATGTTCTTTGTATTTCTGTAAGGCCAGGTCTACACTAAAAAGAAAGATGGAATTTAAGGTAGACCACTCCAGCTATGTTAATTACATACCTTAATTTGAGTTTTCCCACCGTCCCCACAGAAGGAGTTTGACAGGAGGAAATGCTCCCGTCAGCTTCCCTTACTCCTTGTAGGAGCAGGAGTAACAGCGCCAATGGTGGCGTCCTCTAAGTTCGATTTAGAGGGTCTTCACTAGACCCGCTAAATCAAACTACAGAAGATAGATTGTAGCAGCATCAATCTTCCCCGCATGGAAGACATGGCTCAAATCACCTAACAAATTTCTTAATTGGTGTAACTCAGTTTCTACACACAGTTATGGTTCTTAACAGGAAATAGTAGTACACTCTGCACAGGAAAACAAGCAGTTATTCTTGTCTGACACCTGGTAGGAGGCTCTCTCTAGCTAGACCAAGAGAGATGGAAGTGTCATCCACAAGCAGATGATGTTGGACTCCCAATAGCCAGGAAAGTCCTTAACAAGCATTGGACTTTCCTTTCCTGGAAATTGTGTACTTCAACATTACCTTAACTGATGCTTCCTGGGCTACATGCCCCTCATGTTTGGAAGTGTACATTGATCCCTGTTGTCTTAAATTCTGAGAGGAAGTTAAAGTTGTGAATATGTATAGAGGGGATAAATTGTAATCCTAATTGCCATGTTAGTAGGGGCCTGAGCAAGAGCCAAGATAACTTATTGCCAATATGTATTCAATGTATAGAGCAACAAGAATGATTAAAGGTCTAGAGAACATGACGGAAGGCTGAAAGAATTGGGTTTGTTTAGTTTAGAAAAGAGAAGATTGAGGGGGGACATAACTGTTTTCAGGTATCTAAAAGGGTGTCATAGAAGGAAGGACAAAACTTGTTCATCTTGGCCTCTGAGGATAGAACAAGAAGCATTGGGCTTAAACTGCAGCAAGGGAGGTTTAGGTTGGACATTAGGAAAAAGTTCCCAACTGTCAGGGTGGTCAAACACTGGAATAAATTGCCCAGGGAGGTTGTGGAATCTCCATCTGTGGAGATATTTAAGAGTAGGTTAGATAAATGTCTATCAGGGATGGTCTAGTCAGTACTTGGTCCTGCCATGAGGTCAGGGAACTGAACTCAATGACTTCTTGAGGTCCCTTCCAGTCCTAGTATTCTGTGATTCTATATCTGACATCTAAATAGCTCACAAGTTTGAACATATTAAATGTATACCCAGAGCAGCATTAGTTGTCGTTGGATGACATCTATCAATACCATTCTGGTGTGAGTTTTATCATGTTCTTTCGCAATGAATAATAACTCCCTTTTGGAATGCAGTGATTACTTTACGATCTCCCAACCTGCTTCAATTTCTCCTAGTTCGCTCATGCCCTCAAAAAATTCATTGCCGAGCAGGATATTGTGGATTTGAAGGTTTGGACAAGCCAGCTGAAGAGAACCATCCAGACAGCTGAGTCCTTGGGGGTTCCATATGAGCAGTGGAAGATTCTGAATGAGATTGATGCTGTGAGTAGGGTGGAGAAATGGTCCAAAACTGAACACTAAATTTTTCGGGATTTGTAAATGAGAACAATGAACATGAAATAATGCCTTTCCCCTGCCATCCAAAATGTCGAAACACTTTCTGAGCATTAGTTACACGTCCCAACCTCTCACCTCTGTGAACTCTAGGGCTGCTTGGTGTGGAGTTGAAAAATGCCTACGGGTTTTTACCCATCTAAGTATTCCAGTGCTCTTTACAGCAGATATCATGGAAAAACTCAATATTTAAAGTCCCAGGGAAAGTTGCATCCATGTGTGGAAAATGTTTTATGTGCCCTGAGGCATGTGCAGATGTGCACCACTAAGAAGCGCATGCGTGCAGCTGTGGGTGCTCTGCTGATCAGTTGGGCGGCATTTGAATGTCTCCTGGGTGGTCACCCAAGCACACTCTGGTTGCAGGTACCTGCAACCATCAACTACCAATTACTCGTGTCATTTTTTCATGAAAATAAGCTGTAAAGATAATAACGTGGAAAGGGGCATTTTCATTATTGGCAGAGTTTAAAAAATAAAGAATCCAAAACCACAGTCATAGAACATAAAGGCTTGGGTCTAAAATTCAAACTAGAGAACACATTGCAGCTAACTGGGGGGAAACTTTTGCTCCCTTAGTGAGGTCATTTCTGTTATATTCATAGATTCCAAACCCCCTAAGGGACCATTTTGATCATCTGGGCTGATAGGCCCCAAGCCCCTCACCTAAGACACTTGTTTCCCGTGTGGGGCTCAGTCCCACAGTGCTGAGGTTGTGTCTTGAGCTAGCCTGCCTGTATAATGAAGATGAGGTGAGCGGTTTAAGGAGTGATGGTTGGCAAGCCTGCTCCATGGGTCTCAGATGAAAAGTGCAGTAGAAGGGCCATGTTAGAATTACTCTTGTCTGCAGGGGAACCAACAGAATTGCTGGGCCTCTGGACCAAGGGTGAGGGGCAGGGACTCAGGCAGAAGGGACAGGAAGAGCCTCCCCCCACCAACCCTTCAGTGCTGCCTGGGACTCTGGAGTGTGCCACACAGGGCTCTGGCGGCAATTTAAAGGGCCTGGGACATCCGACCACCACTACTGCAGCAGAGGTGGCAGCTGGGAACCCCAGGCCCTTTTGAATTGTCGGGTTTGGGAGCAATTGCCTCCTCTACCCTCTCCGACCTCCCTGTCGGCAGGCCCGCCTTTCTGTCACGAAATGTAAGATACTCACCACTTAAGCACAGAAACTTCTATGTTCAGTCCTTTTCCTCCTACACCCCCCTCCCCCGTGCTTAATTCCATTGTAACAAATGCCTCTTCCGCCAGGGGGTGTGCGAAGAGATGACATACAAAGAAATTGAAACTCAGTACCCGGATGAGTTTGCGCTGCGGGATCAAGACAAATACCTGTATCGCTATCCTGGAGGAGAGGTGAACTGGCTGAAAATAACAACAGGAATCCACGGAATTTGGGCCACCATGGTGCCCCAAATTTAGCAGCAGCACCCTAGGCAGCTACGTGCCGCGTATGTGACAGCTGTGGTGGCCAGGCCCATTCCCCAGATGCCCGCTGTCCCTAGTGATGCCGGGCCCAGGGCTACCTCCCATCTCTGTTTTGCCCTGCCCCCACTCTAGCTCCCCTGTGTCCCTGCTCTGCCCCACCCCACATCTTTCTGCCCCTGTTGTGCCCCCTCCCAGCCCCTAATCCATCCCTTCCCTCAAGCCCTTGCCCCCAAACGACACGGCGGGGAGCTGCCAGAGCAGAATGGGCGGGGGCGCTCCACTTCTCGCTGCCAGCGGTGAGTGAAGGGGCGAGCCTGACCCCCTGCCGCCTCCCTGCCTGGCTCCTGCCCCCCTCAACTTTGGACCTGCCTCCCACCGCTTCTTCCCTCACGGCCTTGCAGCCTTTGAATGCAGCCTGGACTCCATCCCATAGAGGGGTGCACATGCTTGGGCCACAAAGGGTTCCATACAAATGATACCACTTAATCATATTGGGGCTATTTTACGATTTCGTTGGGGCTCTGGGACAACATAAGCGTCCTTCTGCATAGAGCTCATTGCAAGGAGAGAGCCACAGACACGATGTGTTAACAATGTACCTAGCTCCCTCCCCTCAGTGCTGTCTGTTCTTCTGTAACATCCATGCTGTAAGATTTTTAACCTGGGTTTTGGTGACCGTGGAGCAGTTTTAAACCTTGCTCTTGGCTCTGGCATTTCTGCTCATTTGTGAGTCGTACCAAGACTTGGTCCAGCGCCTGGAGGCTGTGATTATGGAACTAGAGCGGCAGGGTAATGTCCTGGTCATTGCTCACCAGGCCGTTATGCGGTGCCTGTTGGCCTACTTCCTGGACAAGAGCGCAGGTACAAACATAACTTCACTCTGTGAGGGTGGGAGTTGCTGGTTACATCACAGGGAGCTTCTGGAGGGCAGGTTTGCATTAGGTAATGGTGGCAAAAATAGAACTTCTGAAAAACATTTCTCAGGAAGGGTAATGTCCTGGTCATTGCTCACCAGGCCGTTATGCGGTGCCTGTTGGCCTACTTCCTGGACAAGAGCGCAGGTACAAACATAACTTCACTCTGTGAGGGTGGGAGTTGCTGGTTACATCACAGGGAGCTTCTGGAGGGCAGGTTTGCATTAGGTAATGGTGGCAAAAATAGAACTTCTGAAAAACATTTCTCAGGAGTAGAACATTTCCCAAGCCTCTTTTAACCCAGAGTGTCTATAGGTGCCTCACAATCCCGTCTCATTGCAGTGCCATTGAAATGCAGCCACTTTGGGTGTGTAGGTTTGGGAAGGTGAAGCCTGTGAATAGGCCCCATTTTTGGTACTTGGGAGACATGGGTTCAGTGCTTCTCTCTGCTACAGATGCTCCTGTGACATTGGGCAAGTCACTTAATCGACCCCATGCTTCACTTTCCCTTCTGGAAATGGGGAGTGATAACATTTTACTCGCAAAGGTGGAGTTTCGGGAGAGCAGGGGAGGCAGCAGCCATGCATACCGGGACGCGGCTTGCTTTTCATCCTGTTCCCTGGACTACCAGAGAGTGAGGGGAAAGTACTTGCATTCTGTGCATGTCTCTCACACCTGGCTGGTGAAGGGAGGAGACAGAAGAGCCAATCACGGAATGCAAGTACTTTCCCCTCACTCTCTGGTAGTCCAGGGAACAGGATGAAAAGCAAGCTGCCTCCCAGGGTGCACGGCTTCCCAAAACTCCACCCTGGTTCACATGGCGTGTGCGAGGAGGATAAAATCCATTAATGATTGTGAGGGTGTCAGATGGCCTGTGATAAAGACAGTGTAAGTACTTAGAGCATCACCCAGCCAGTGTCCGGTCAGCAGCTGGGTGTGGAGAAGGAAAATTGTGGCTGAGAACATAGAGGTGAATTCCTAAACTTCTGAAGTATTCTCCACGATCTCTTTAAGATCCTCAGGGCAGATGCCTTTAGAGTCAAATGGCTGCAAGGGGCTAGGTCTGCACAGAAAGTAGACACCCATGGCTAAATGTTGCAACCCAAGGCCAAACATCTACACAGCAATTAAGCTGCTCCGTAGCCTGAGTCCCGTGAGCCGAAGTCCACTGGCACAGACCAGCAGTGAGTTTTTAATTGCGGTGTAGAATAGGGATGTTAAATTTAGTTTAATCAACTTATCGACTAGTCAACGGAAAATCCATTGACTAGTCGATAAGCAGAGGTTAGTTCCTGGCCCCGCTGCAGCTCTGCCTTTTAAAATATATTGAGAGCTGGCAGGCTCTTAATACATTTAAAAGGCTGAAGCGCAGTGGGCGGCGAGACCCAGCGTGAGCCTGGACAGCTGAGTCCCAGCTCACACTTGCCCCCCCCCCCGCTGCTGCGCACCAGCCTTAAATGTAAAAAGGCTGGAGCACAGCAGGGGGACCTGGTGTGATGCAGGGCTTGTGCAGCAGGGTTCCTGCTACCCCCCGCCTCTTCTGCCCCCTTTTAAGCTGGCTCCCCCAAGCATCGGCTCTTCCCCTCCCCACTTTGCTGCCTCTGATAAAGGGGCAAGACTCCCTAGTGTAGACATACCCTAGGTGGGTGGGTCTCTTGGGATTTTTGCCTTAATCTTCAGTTTTCAGGGATGTCCGTGTCTGCTGTTGAATGCGACGTCAACTAAGTGGCAGGATAGGAACAAAAATACCCCCAAATCCCTACTGAAGTAGTAATAGAGATGTAGCCATGTTAATCTGGTCTTGCTGAAACAAAGCCTGCTGATAAGACTGTGTTGGTGGCCATGGTTTGGGAGGAATCCCAGCCCCTGAAGTTAGCGGTAAAACTCCCATTGATTTCACTGGGGCCAGGATTTCAGGTTCTACAACTGGTGTGTCATCCTCAAAATTGGGAGAGACTGACACTTGTGAAGGCAGTGTGATTAGAACTTGTGCTGGACACAGGAAGGCTGCTCTCCACAGCAACCCTTCTTGTAGACTGAATAACAGCAGTGATGTGCCCATAGGTGGAGTGACTGGAGCCATGATTTGGTGGCTCAAGGAAGGACAAGAGTTGCACAAAGCTAAGTGATTGGGTAACAAAATGGCATATGACATTTAGGGCGTTTTTAGACTAGAGGGTTTTGTCGACAAAAGTGGACTTTTGTCAACAAAACTGTACCTGTGTCTACACTACCGCCGAGTTCTGTCGACAGTAAGTCCACAGAACTTGGCAGTTTTGTTGACCGTGGTAAACCTCATTCTGTGAGGAATAATGCCTTTTTTCAACAGAGTTATGTCCAAAAAAGGCGGTATTGCATTCACACTGTGCTTTTTCAAAAGAGAGCGTCTAGAGACTCTGTTGAAAAAGCGGCTTGTTTTTCAACAGAACTGGCTGTAATCTAGACACTTATTGTCGACAGAGGCTTTGTTGACAGAATCTGTCAACAAAGCCTCTGTAGAAAAAAGCCTGTAGTCTAGATGTACCCCTAATGTTGATAGATGTAAAGTAATGCACATTGGAAAAAATAATCCCAACTATACATACAAAATGATGGGGACTAATTTAGCTACAACTACTCAAGAGAGAGCTTGGAATCATTGTGAATAGCTTGGTATGCAGCGGCAGTCAAAAAAGCAAACAATGTTAGGAATTATTAAAAAGGGGATAAAGAATAAGACAGAGAACATCTTATTGCCTCTATATAAATCCATGATACGCCCACATCTTGAATACTGCATGGTTGCCTCATCTCAAAAAAGATATATTGCATTGGAAAAGGTTCCAAAAAGGCAACAAAAATAATTAGGGGTTTGAAATGGGTCCCATATGAAGAGAAATTAAAAAGCCTTGGACTTTTCAGCTTAGAAAAAGAGGAGACTAAGGGAGGATATGATAGAGGTCTATAAAATCATGAGTGGTGTGGAAAAAATGAGTAAGGAAAAGGTTATTTACTTGTTCCCATAACTTAAGAACTAAGGGTCACTGGATGAAATTAATAGGTAGCAGGTTAAAGAAAAAGAAAGTTTTTCTTCATGCAGCACACAGCCAACCTATGGAACTCCTTGCCTGAGGATGTGAAGACCAGGACTTTAACAAGGTTAAAAAAAGAACTAGATAAATTCATGGAGGAGAGGTCCATCAATGGCTTTTAGCCAGGATGGGTAGGAATGGTGTCCCTAGCCTCTGTTTGTCAGAGGGAAATGGATGACAGGGAAGGGAATCACTTTATGATTATCTGTTCTGTTCACTCCCTTTGGGGCATGCCATTGGCCACTGTCAGAAGACAGAATACTGGGGTAGATGGACCTTTGGTCTGACACAGTATGTCCGCTCTTATGAATTAAAGCAGAAGTGAAGTACACAAAGCGGATTCTAGGGGGGGTCCCTCAGGAGTGCAGCAGAAGATTCTAGGAGATATAAAGAGAAATCAAACCTTCTTCCTCAGCTTTTCAGGAAACAAAGGCCTTGGTCCTGCAAAGACTTACTTACCCATTTTAAATTTAAGCATGTGAGCCATCCTCTTGAACTCCATAGGACTTCTCATGTATTTCAAGTTAAGCATGTGTGTAAGTCCTTGGAAGATCCAGGCAAACTGAGGAACCACACAATTCCTGCAAAGTTCCAAGCTGTGCCCAGTACGTGCAGTTTTTAACTTCTCTCTCTCTCTCTCTCTCTCTCTCTGGTTTCAGACGAGTTGCCATATCTCAAGTGCCCCCTTCACACCATATTCAAGCTCACACCTGTTGCTTATGGTAAATATTTCCCTTTTTTCCACTTAACTGAATCTTTATGAATTTTCTGGACAATTGGACATGCAAAATTGTCATGCTGACCATTTAAGTACTATATTTGTTTTAAAAATGGGAGGTGGAGGCAAAATGAGAGAGAGAATTAGTTATATTTTAATAAATTGGGTAGCAACAAGTTTCTTGTTGTTTTTTAATAAAAAGTCTTCTGAAAAAGACTCCCATTGATTTCTCGGGATTATATTTATTGACCTGTAAACTAGTCCCCCCCCCGTTCCTCCACTTGGACTTGTACCTGGGAATGAATTGAAATAGTTTCCATGTCATTAAGTGTAATCCACATAGCATGTGTCTTTGTATAAAGATTGCCGTTGTGTAGTAGCTTCACTTCTGCAGCGAAAACTACAGGAGAAAGTAATTAAAACATTGCATATGACATCTTCATATACAGTGCTTTTTTTGTTTTAAAAAAAGGTGCCAGTACTCCAGGGGAAAAATTTGCTGAGCTCTGACTGGAGGTGCTGGTACTGCTTCTGGAGGTGCCGGTACTGTATACCAGGCAGTACCATCACAAAAAAAGCACTGTTCATATATAATCCATATTGAATATTGTATTGAGGCACGTGTTCTTTACAAAAGAAGAAACTAAATTATTTCTTATTTCTGAAAACAACTGTAATAACTTGCCAGTTATTTAACTGAGAATAATTAATCGTGGAAAAAAAATCGAGTTCTTCCTTTGATGTTTCTCTTTTTCTATGGTGAAGGGTGTAAAGTGGAAACAATCACATCGAATATTGAAGCAGTGGATACTCACCGAGACAAGCCTTCTCGGAGTAACGTAAGTCGTGACTGAAAAATCCCTGCCCTTGATTTGGGTTTGGCCAGTTACAATATTGGAGCCTGCATTAAAGATAATATTGCAACTAGGAGTAAAATTATGGTCGAGTGCCTGCTTGGAATTTTCCATCCATTTCAGCCGTCACAAAAACTGCTTTTGACATACCATGTCTATGACAATAATTGACTTCCCTAGCCAGATTGAGCTATAAGATGACAAGAGACTCCTAGACTAGATAACATGACCTATGAAGGAAGACTGAAGGAATTGGGTTTGTTTAGTTTGGAAAAGAGAAGATTGAGGGGGGACATGAGAGCAGTTTTCAGGTATCTAAAAGGGTGTCATGAAGAGGAGGGAGAAAACTTGTGCATCTCAGTGGGCCCAGCCAGGCTGGAGCACCCATCCCTCTCCCCATAGTGCGGTGCACCCGGGTTGGGCAGGGGACAGCTCTGGGCCACCAGTTAATTGACATCCCTACATGGGATTAGGCCTCAGTTGGTTCGAATGGGAGCTCTGCCCCCAGAGCAGAAGCAGGATTAGGTTTCCGGTTGTACTAGGTGGAAAGTGTCTCTGGCATCAGGACAATCGTGACGTGAACTTTGCTTTTAGATTGCGGTTTTGCTTTTCACTCCTTGTAATATCCTCCGTTTTCAATCAGAACAATCTTCCAAAGAGCCCAACCCCCGTAAGGATGAGAAGAAACAGCTTTACGCCTCTGGCCAGTCCGGACACAATAAAACGCACACGAAATTACAGTGTTGGGAGCAGGCCTCTCAAACCGCTGGGGTCTCTGCTATTCCCAGAGGCTCGAGATGGGACTGATCAGCAGAAGCGACAAGTCGGTGTCCAAGTGGTAACTTCTCTACCTTACTCCTCTCCCCCAGTCAAACACAGAACTAGTGACCAAATAATGGCTGATATTTTCCAATGGTCCTGCGTGATGCACAACTGAAACTTCTTGAAATTTAGGTGCCTTATCATCATCCTTGCTTCAGAATTGCTTCAGTTTACAGACTTCTAAAGAGTCACCAAACTGAGGTTCAGCTCCAATCCTGTAGGCATAAAACACCCTGCTCCCTGCAGGGTGAATGCTATTGAATAACACTGAGTTCCTGGTTTCTTTCTTTTAAAATACAATACCCTTTTCCAGACAGACAGGTTGATTTTAAGGGACTCCCTGCTTGTCCAAATCTCAAGTCAAATTGGTTAGCAGCAGCTTTGCATGCAGGATCTTGGGGCAGGAATAACAAGTAGTTCTGCTTCATTGTAAATTGAAATGGATTAGTCTGTGTTTGTTGTTCCAAGATGCATGCTTACTTTTTGCACTTCATCCTGCATGAATACTGAATTGTAAGTAACATTTTTAAAGCTGAGATTCTGATTCACCCGTGTGGCTTTGCTTTCACGCTGCTGATTTCCACAAGCAAAGAGATAATATGTGTCAATTTGGGCCTCAGTTCAGTTCTAATAATTTTACAGTGGTATTAGTAAAATACAGGCCTACATTTTCAAACATGACTGAGGTGGGGTATCCAGTTTTAAGATGCTTTAAAGAAGGCTACTCTTCAGTGGGCACTTAATGAAATGGAGTTGCCCAAAATACCTAGTCAGGTTTGAAAATTTGAGCTGCGGGTAATTTATTTTAAAACCTGAAAATTTCCCTTTAAATTTAGTGTTTTAAAACCATTTCTCCAAGCAGTGGCATTAATGAAGCAGCTTATTCATGAGGAATGCACTAGATTGGATGGAGCCATATCAATGAGCATTCAGCCAACAAGCTGATTGATTGGCTGGACTTCATTGGTGCTTTAGGATGCAGTTTCCTTGGCTTGTATCAGGCAGTTGTTACTGATACAAGTTTGTAGTGGTCCCTCCTGTGCAGGAGATTCTGAGGGTTGTTTCTGTTTTTCCTTGTTTGCTGCTCTGCTTTTATATAATTATTTTTTAGTGTTGGTTAAAATGCAGTGTGAGCTATCCTTTGCTGTTTCTTTTTTCTTTGCAGCTTCAAATGGGAAATGCTTGCTTGTGAGTATCGCCAAACACAGCTTGTATGTATTCTCTCTGGGTTTGTTTAGTAAGTAGGAATTCTCTTAATTGTAATTGCATGGAAACCAATTGGGGAATAAAAAAACCAATAAATGCTTGAGGCAGAAGGAAATCATTTTCCCCATAATCGTCCAGCAAATCAAAGAATCCATTGTTGGTGGAAAATCATCATAGGTGAAATTGATCATCTGCAGAAGCAAGAGCGAGGGTTGAAATGGAATTTAATGGTAGATGGGCTTCATGTTGACCATCTGCTGAGGGGTGAATTCACCCCAGATCAGCAAGATTACTGGGAGAGATGAATAGTGCCTCAGGTCCCAAATACATACTGGGTGTAACCTCCTAGAAGTCATTCAGTGCAATTAAGCCAGGGGAGAATTCGGCCCCAAGTGTTGTCTACAGCACAAGATGCAAGTAGCTGTAGTTTGCTGTTGAGTACCTACTTGAGTGGAAGTACCTATCATGATGAATAAATGGCAGATTACACACAGAGGTGGATGGCATTATGCAGCCCTAGTCTGCAAGTCTTCAGAACGGTTTACATGAAGACTTTAATACACAGGGGCTACGTCTAGACTGGCATGATTTTCTGGAAATGCTTTTAACAGAAAAGTTTTCCGTTAAAAGCATTTTCGGAACAGAGCATCTAGATTGGCACGGATGCTCTTCCACCAAAGCACTTTTTGCAGAAAAACGTCCGTGGCCAATTTAGACGCACTTTTCCGCAAAAAAGCCCCGATCACCATTTTCGCGATCGGGGCTTTTTTGCGGAAAACAAATCTGAGCTTCTACACTGGCCCTTTTGCGCAAAATGGGACTTTTGCCCGAATGGGAGCAGCATAGTATTTCCGCAAAAAGCACTGATTTCTTACAGTAGGAAGTCAGTGCTTTTGCGGAAATTCAAGCGGCCAGTGTAGACAGCTGGCAAGTTTTTCCGGAAAAGCAGCTGATTTTCCAGAAAAACTGGCCAGTCTAGACATAGCCTGAATGGAGAGTTCTGCTAGAAGTGGAGTAGCCTGAACCAGGAACTTCTTGAGTTCTAATTCCTGGTGGGAAACCAACTCTGAGGTCTTGGTCAAGTCTCTGACTTCCCCTTTCTAGCCCCGTGTAATAACACTTGCCCATCTCACAGGATGTTTGTGATGTTTGTTTAATCATTGCTGAGTCCCAAATGGTGCTGGGCATCCTTGACATCACTTGACTTCAGAGGAAGGTTGAATTAATTTCCCACCTTGCAGGAGAAATTTGGTACCTTCACAGGACTGTGAGCTTTGTTTGCAAAGAGCTCCGTGAAGAATGCTATGTTAGTGTTACGTTTAATTTTTACTCCTCATTGGCTGTAGTTGTACTGGAGGGATGAATTGAATGGGGCTGAAAGATGCTGTAACATGTCTCTTTTTCGCAGCTAGTGAGAGAGCACATAAATATTCTATTATCCCTTCTCTCTAGGGAACCAGCCAACAAGATCACCTATGAGTCCTTGGTTTCTGTCTCAGCTACCAAATGAGGCAGTGGAGTGTGAAGTCTTTACTACCCCACTGTACAGAATGCCTGGAAAATGACCTATGCTGCTTCCCTTTGTGCCCGTGTTGCTTAGATCCAACTCTGCTGGTCACGAAGCCCTTTCTTGTCTTGGCTTTAAATGCTTGTGTGAATCTCACTGGCAAATGTCGATGCACCTATTTCTTGATGTACTTGATGTTTCATCTTGTACCTTGCCTGTGAAATTGACTTGCACAACTTTGATGTTGCATTTTATTTACCTTAGTTGTCAAACTGAGTTTATAATGTGAGATTTGGTTTTATTTAATGTCATTGTGGTTCTTGGTAGTAGACGTCTCTTCAGGTTTTGTGTGTGTTTAATGTCCCCTCAGCATTTTTACTTTCTCCTCTGTGAAGTGGACTCTTTTCCCTCTTTACATTTGTGGCACCTCCATTTAAATGCCTGTGGTAGTCCTCATTTGCCAGTTATTGAATAGTTTTTGCCTAGAGTGCTTTACACACTGTGGCTGCCTACTGCCGTATGGAAATGGAATGCAATGTGATTTATGTCCAGTTTTTTTTTTACTGTGCCCGGAATGCACTTCTGATATGCAACAGTGTTTCTGTGGCTATGCTGACAAAGCAAATTTGCCTTAAGGGAGTATTTGCAAAAGAAGCTGAAAAATGTTAACTTTTTGATGGCTTGTTCTAAAGCAATGTCTCCTGGGTAACTATCTTGGCAGCCAGAGGAATGTTTTAGAATTGGGGTCTGGGGGTCAGAAGTTATGGATTCCATTCCGTGGTGTCCACATTGACTAACATTTTTGGTTTTAGCAAGTCATGTGATCTCCCTCTATGTTGGTTTCCTCTCTGGAAACGTCCCACCCCGCGTATAAGGCTCTTTGAAATTATCCAGTGGAAGGTGCTGGATAAACACCATTGTCAGGGGCTTTCAGGGAGACCGTTTTAACTATTGATTTTAAATTAGAGAACTGATCTTGAAACAGCTTTTAAAAAACTGATTTCCAATACTTTTTAATGGAGATCCTCTCAAACTTGGAGGGGGGAGGGCATGTCAAACTTTCAAGATCATAATGAGGGTCAGTTATTCTCTTTTTAACTTTTTAAAAGCACGTTTTTTTAGTTTTTGTTTTATTTTATTTCATGGATCCAGGGACCAGGAACTACCCCAGGCAGAGAAGTGCTCAGGAATTGTCTCCACTCTTCCAGGCTCTTCCTCTTGAGTATTCCAATCATACTATGAGCCTAATGCTCTCCAGCACACCAGGGGACAGCCAAGACAAAATTTAGCTATATAGAAATTCATGTTTGCAATTCATGAGAGTTGCAGACAAATCCTTGTTACTGATAACATGCTGCTCTGAAGAATATTTATCCTGTGGCCTTCTCCATTTTATAGGCAATGCACTTTTCTTTCCGTTTCATTGGCAGGAAAAAAATAGGAGGAAGAAATACATTCCCCTTCTCCCCCCCTCCCCGTGAAACAAAGGTTAGATGTTTTGTCCTATTTGACAGTTTATTGTAGAGCTGTGCTAAAATTGCTTTTTAAATTGTCATTTGCTAAGCTGCCTTAACTGACGGTTTGTATGTGGGAGTTGTGTGGCCAATTGTGTGTTCTCGTTTTGTAGAACTGTGTTCTGTGGATGGAAAGGAAAATGGTTGCTGGTTCGATTATTTTCTGGACATTGAACATAAATTGTAAGAGTGGAAAAATAGTGTTTCACAAAAGGGACTCCATTCATATGCCATTCTCAGAGACAGTACCAAACAAAATGGACTGCTTTGTCAGATTTAGGTCTTGCTGCTTTCAGATCACACTTCAACACCTGTTTCAAGCAGGGGGTGTTGTACAGGGTATTGAATGAAGATGAGCAAAATTTCCGTCCAGAATTGAACAACTTCATTTGAATGTCTACATGCCTTTACTGGCATGATCAGCCCTTATAGTTACTACATAGTGATCTGTCCAGGAGCTGTTTGTTACTCATCCTCTAGCAAGAGGAGTTTGAATTGCACTTTGTAATTCAATTGATTCTCTTTAGCACTTTTACTGTGATTGCATAACCTCCCTGTTTGTAACCAGCATTTTATAGGCCTGCATTCCTTAGGATAAATGACTATGTTATGGATTTCAGGGAACGTGCCTTCTTTTGTCTTTTACTTTCTCTAACTTAACAAAGATTTTAAATAACAGATACCAGAAAAGATGTATTTAAATGATGAAGTACTGTAGTGACTGTTTAACCAAAGCTGCAATGACGCACAAAATGTCAATGGTTGTTGTTATATACTGAGTTAATATTTTGGGTATTGTCAGAAAAGTTATTGTGCAGAAATAGCACCTTCTTAGGCCAGCTCTCCACTTGCCGGAGGATCGACACTCTGATGATCGATCTTCTGGGATTCAATTTAGTGGGTCTAGTAAGACCCAGTAAATCAAACACTGAGGTCGCCCCTGTCGGCACCAGTACTCCTCACTGTCATGAGAAATAAAGGAAGCCGATGAGAGTATTTCTCCTGTTTAACCTCTCACTGTCGGGCAACCTCAAAAATTGGTGCAAGGTTGTTGACTCAATCCATGCAATTTACATAGCTGGAGTTGTGTATCTTGCATCAATTTTCTCCACCAGTGTAGATCTGGCCTTAGTTAGCTCCCGATGTGTATCTAAGTCCCTCCCATCTGTTGACTTAACTGACACCAACACATCTGCATGGGAGAGCGAAGTAGATTTTATTCTGCTCCCCTACCCCTCGCTGAGGGGCTGGTCCAGTTCCCGCTAAAGTTGGTGAGAGTTTTTCTATGACCCGTCCAAAGGAGCAAGTCCCAGTAGAATGGTCGGACTAAGGTCCAATTGCAGAGGCCGTATTGCTGGAGATGAGATAAGAGACAGGAGGGTCCCAGCTAGGACTCCCAAATGGGAGCTTGTGTCACTGGCAATTCTGTAAAATCATCTTTTTCGCTTGTAAATTGGGCAAATAAGATTTCTAAACAAGAAGGGTGAAATTCACTCCTGGACTGAGGAACAAAGCCTGCCTGCCACTTATGCCTTGACTTTGCACAGAAATGAATTGTCCTTCTCCCCCTCCCCCCCCCCCCCCCCCCCCCCCCCCCGAGGAAATAAATCTGCATCTTCCCCCCACATAATGTCATCTTAGCAACATTATTTTCTAACCATAATTGCACTTTAAGCTTGAGTCTCTGTATGAATAAGATGATGGAGAGGGGGTGGCATTTAGTCCAGCACTTCATGGAATTCAGTCTCTTTTTTTTTTTCTAGTGGCTTTGTTTTGCACTAATCCCCGTTGTGAATGTGTTGCTATAGACACATTCTTTATAGACTCCTAGCGTCTTATATTGGCATGGATGTATTAAAAAAAATTGCTTGGTTTTTTTTTCTGTTTAGGGTTCTTTTGGGTGGGGGAGGTTTTTTTTTTAATCAGATGTAATTTTTTTTCTAAGTCACATGTGGAAAATATGTTGTGTCCATTGATTTTTTTTTCTGAATGTTTCGATTTTTCATCATTGAATCAATGACTTAGTTTGCTTCTCTTGACTGCAAAGCACAGATGATGATACTATAAGAAAAATGGCACAGACTGATTTACAAGAGTAGATCGCAATCTTCAGAAGTGCCCTTTATTTCTGAAGGGCGGGTGCTCAACAATTTTGGTAATTCAGGCCCCTTTTAGGTGACACATGTTGGGTGCCTAAATACATGAGTCGCTTTTAAAAATCTTGGCCATCATGAATTTCAGTTTATATAACTGTATCTCTGTAAAGTGACAGCTAGTTTTGCTCACATGAATGCATTCTCTGTATGAAATGCGTCAGAACATCATTCGCACATTTCCTGTACAGAAGGAGCATACTTGTAAAATCAGCAGAGCATTTCATGTGGTTAATTTTTCTTTTTTAAATATGAGCTTGCAAAATAGATATTGTAATGATGTTTCTGAACATTTGTGTTGGAAGTGTAAACTTTCTTGTGGATCAGATAAATAAAATTAAGTAACTTTGAACCGTTGGACTGTTTCAGTATTTTTTTTCTCATTGCATGTTCCAATAAACTTCTTTTATACTCCATGTATGAAATGCCAACCTTCTGATATATATCCACTATGCACAATGATAAAGAATGATGCTTAAGTGAGTGGAGACTTGAGCTGTACTGTATATGCCCAAAGTTCACTCTCATCATTTCTCAAGGAAAACAGAGCCCCTTTAATTGTAACATTTGAAGATGCCATCTCTGTATGTCTGATATCGTAGCTTAGATGGGAATTACATGCAGTGAGTTTGGAGGAATAACATTATGGGACACATGCAGAGATGTTATTGTTTGAAACAGAAATGACTCTGAAGGAGAAATTAACGAGGACAAGATTGTGTGAAAGATTTTGTTCCTAGAAGAGAAAATGGATTCCCTCTTGTTGATGTTATGGGTTACATGGTGTCAGCAAAACTCCCCTCTGAAACCAATAGGAATGGTCTTAAAAACTGCTGTGATGTCATGGCTCTGTATTTTATACTATTAACGTATTGTTTCAGTCCCATTGTCCAATGTGATTTTAGTGGCTTATCTCCAGTCATCTTTGCACAGTAATAATTTGTATCTTTTTTGATTTCTCATTTCTAGAGGATGCCTGGGTTATCGACATGGGGGTCTTGGTTTCATCATGAACTCGACTGAAAACTGAATGGACACTTGGAAGGACAAATCTCATCCTGGAATTAAAATGCATCACCAATTTCCTGGAGTCAGCGTGTTGGCTGGATTTATAGAAGCCCAATATTTCTGAAAGTGAGGTTACTTTTTATGTGATTCAGTAAAGATTGTCGATGCTGAAAAGGTTAGCCTGAATTTCTGCTGCAGAAGAGCATTGGTTTTGCCTCCGATGCAAATGACAAGGGAGCAAGAGGAAAGTACTTGGATTCTGTGAATTACTCCTCTATCCTCTCCCTTCACCAGCCAGGAGTGAGATGCTTGCACAGAATCCAAGTACTTTCCCCCCGCTCCCTTATCATCAGGGGAACAGGATGAAAAGCAAATGCACAGCTGCTGTCCCTCTGCTCTCCCGAAATGGTGCCTTGTTCAGAGAACCCTAACACCCCCACCAGCTTTTCTATTCTTTTAATTCAGCCAGAGGAGCTGTGTAGGTCTGTAACTCTCCTCTGTGCAGAGAGCCAGCACAAAGCCTGTTTGCTCTGGAGAGCTTAAGGGGAACTTTGGTGCTTCATAGGCTTTGGGCAGCTAATCTGCAGAGAGGTGAGTATTGCCTGTAACCAATCCCTTTTTGCTTCAAAGGACTCTGATCCACACTGAAGTGCAGTTTTGCCCCCAACTACCGTGAAAGCTGGCTCCCCCATTTTTATTTATGAAACTTCTCTAGTGAATTAGAGACAAGCCACAAAAATGAAGAAGAGAAAGCATGCTGGAGGAAGAGACCTGTGTGGGCTGTCGCATATTTGCATCCATGGTCACTTACTGTCTAAATGGGTGAGCATTCATCCAGATACACCTTTTGCTGACTTGCTTTCATAAGATGAAAATAACTCCATAAAGGGAACTACCAATGCCCTGTAATTTGATTATGCAAAATATGTTACCATCACTTTGCACAATACAGTATTATGAAGTTAATTATTTTTCTGTTGCGGGTGAGCTTTTGGATCAGTAGGTAACTGGTATCTTTTACCTGCTAGAACGTATGAAAATAGCTGCTAATATGTTGACGTTGTAACTTTTTAGTCAGTACTAATGATGTGCTCTACAATAGAAACATGTTTTATGAAGCTGGGTCTGGTATCCTTCTGCGTCAGGAAGACCCCCTGTTCGGGTATGTCTACACTTGCATCCTCTTTCGAGAGAGGGATGCAAATGCAGACAAGCGAAATTTCAAATGAAGCACGGATTTGAATTTCCTGTGCTTCATTTGCATAATCGCGCACCTCTGCTATTTCAGAATACCCTATTTCGAAATAACAAATGTGGAGACGCAGTTATTTCGGGAGAAAACTCTTCTTTCGAAATAACCGGTAAACCTCGTTGTATGATGAATAAGGGTTATTTTGGAAGAAAGGTAACCGCGTCTACACAGCCTTTGTTATTTCAAAATAGAGTATTCTGAAATAGCGGCAGTTCGTGATTATGCAAATGAAGCACAGGAAATTCAAATCCGTGCTTCATTTGCAATTTTGCTTGTCTGCATTTGCATCCCTCTCTCGAAAGAGGGTGTAAGTGTAGACATACTCTTTGTCCAGTAAAAAGTTGCTACCAAGCAGAACTAAGAGTGACAGATTGTAGCCCCTTGTGTTTTATTTAAGTCTGATATCTTTGTCAATCAAGGCATATCAGTGTTTGACTTTAAAGTGAGCTTACAAAAGAGATGCACAATTTTAGAACTCTATTAGCACTGGCAACGTTATGTTGAGCTTTCTTCTACCATGAAATTCCCATGCTATCCACCTAGTTGTAGGTGAATAGTAGAATGGGTGATAAAATCAGGGATGTAAAACCCTTGTTCACCAGTTAAACATAACCTTTAACCAGTTAACTGGGATCCTGTGGGCAGGGAGCCCTGATAGGTTGGAACAGTCCTCCCACCCATCCCATGCTTGGCCCTGCTGGGCTGGAGCGGCCTATCTGGGCCCACCATGCTGTAGGCCAGACCAGGCTGAGGTAACCGGTTAAATGGTTGCATCCCTAGATAAAATGTGCTCTTACATTTAGGAATGCTTCTTGGCACAGCTGAACTTAAAAGGCATTTTTACCTCCAGATATTACTGCCGCATGCATTTGGCTACTGCCAGAATTATGCAGGCCAAGTTCAGAGTTTTGTTGTTAATTGGGAGGGGAACTCAGTAATAGGATTGTTCACGTTTTCTGTTGCACATTCTAACGAAGTGCTACCTACGTGAGGGTGGGTTGTGCAATTTTAGCCCTATTTAAAGATTAAGCACAACTATTCTGGCCTTTGTTACACCAAAGACAATCTGAGGTAACTCCATTGTCAGTAGACTCTGTTAAGCCGCTTCACACCAGTGTAACAGCTGAATCTAGCATTGGTATGTTCACAGAACCATAGAATCCTAGGGTTGGAAGAGACCTCAGGAGGTCACTGATTCCAACCCCCTACTAAAAGCAGAGCCAATCCCAACTAAACCATCCCAGTCAGGGCTTTGTTAAACTGGGACTTAAAAACTTCTAGGGGTGGAGATTCACCACCTCTCTAGGGAACTCATCCCAGAGCTTCCCCACCCTCCTAGGGAAATAGTTTTTCCTAATATCCAACCTAGACCTCCCCCACTGTAACCTGAGACTATTGCTCCTCGGTCTGTCATCCATCACCACTGAGAACAGCCTCTCTCTGTCCGCTTTGGAACCCCCCTTCAGGTAGTTGAAGGCTGCTATCAAATCCCCCCTCACTCTTCTTTTCTGCAGACTAACTAAGCCCAACTCCCTCAGCCTCTCCTCATAAATCATGTGCTCCAGTCCCCCAATCATTTGTGTTGCCCTTCGCTGGGCTCTCTCCAGTTCATCTACATCCTTTCTGTAGTGGCGATCCCAGAACTGGATGCATGTATTGATGTATTTTCTGTGTGCTGATTGCAACATTCTTAAGGAACAAATTAGTGGAGAAAGTTACATTTTTTGCCATGTAAGCCTGTCAGAAAACTGTTGCAAACAGCGAATCAGTTACTGTTTTCATGCCACTTGCCTGCTAAATAGTGCAAGCTATGTTTCCACTAGTTTGGTATTCTGTCATGAGTCATCTTAGCAAGGGACTAAGTGGTTCATCAACTTCCTTGGTATTTTCCAGAGGTTGGATATTTTTTCCCCATCTACTTTTCACTAGTTTTTATCTCCAATGGCTTTTAATACACAAGGCATTACATCCTGCAGTATTAAATGAGCACCGTCTATCCCTTTGGACTTTGCATTAAGATGCAATTGCTGTCTTATTTTATATTTGGGGAGTTGCTTTGTGTGTGCGGGGGGAGGTCAGGTCTTTCTTTTGGTGATTGTTTTCACTTGCATGAAAGGTTTTCAGTCTCAGCGTTGAGATGTCAGAATAATTAGAACGTTGCAAAAGGCTTATGGAAATAAAAAATTAAATCAGGCTGAGTAACTTAAATTTGTGAGTGCTTAATGTGATTTTGGATACTGGCAATAAATATGTAAATGTGAGGGGGGTTTGCCCCAAGCTGTACATTAGAGGTTCCTATCCTGAGTAAAGGCATAGACATAGTTATTTGGCTTTGATAGCACGCTGTGAGGCCCAATCCTGCTGTCCTTGTGCAGTCCAAATTAGGTCTGTATCAGGAGTGCAGGATCAGGAACATACCACATAAGTTGCACTTATGCCCTTGTTCCAGGTTTTATGAGACGTTTGTTACAAGAATACTTGGGATGTTGGTACTTGATTCATATTTCATTTTATGTTCAGGTTGAGGGGTCCCATGTTTGCAAACCTTCCTTGATATATTTTCTGTGTGTTGATCACAACTACCACGCAGACATCCATGAATGGTTGTTTATAATAAAGGGTCTCTTCAAACAAATCTTGTTTCCCCTGATTTTTCCCTCCAGTATTTGCTATCATGAGCAAAGCTTCCATTAACAGTTTGAGATTTATGTTGTCTTTTGGTTTCAAAACACCACAATACTGTCTGCAAATATAGAGAGTCTGGAAACCATTAAGAAAGTAATAGTTGAAATACATAAAGGACATAAGGCCGGTCTATGGTAAGTGGATGCATTATTGGTCAAGTTTGAGAATGACATCAATTAGTTAATGCAGCCACATCTTGTACCCTCACTGCAATAATTCCTCTTAAAATGATAAGTAGTTTAAAATCATGCTATTTCAAACAATATTTAACAGTGGATTCTTTTTCACTTGCACTCTGGTGTTCATGCAGTTGGGGGTTCACATTTTCAAGCTTTTCTCTACAACCGCAAGGATGATGATAATAATAAAAAAGTTTAAGGAAAGTCTAGTCTCCCACAGTCACTATGAGGAGAGGTTAAAGCGACTGGGACTTTTCAGTTTAGAAAAGAGGAGACTGAGGGGGGATATGATAGAGGTCTATAAAATCATGAGTGGTGTGGAGAGGGCCGATAAAGAAAAGTTATTTATTAGTTCCCTAAATAGACGAACTAGAGGACACCAAATGAAATTAATGGGTAGCAGGTTTAAAACTAATAAAAGAAAGTTCGTCTTCACACAGCATGTAGTCAACCTGTGGAACTCCTTGCCAGAGGAGGCTGTGAAAGCTAGGACTATAATAGAGTTTAAAGAGAAGCTAGATAATTCCATGGAGGTTAGGTCCATAAAAGGCTATTAGCCAGTGGATAAAATGGTGTCCTTGGCCTCTGTTTGTCAGAGGCTGGAGAGAGATGGCAGGAGACAAATCGCTTGATCATTGTCTTCGGTCCACCCTCTCTGGGACACCTGGTGCTGGCCACTGTCGGCAGACAGGATACTGGGCTAGAAGGACCTTTGGTCTGACCCAGTACGGCCGTTCTTATGTTCTTATGATTCCCAGTCAGGGGTTGTTAAGAAGAGCTACTGGCATTACAAGACTCGTGATAACATCATGAGCGTCAACAACACCATGAGTCCCAACATCTACAGCTAATGTTGTTTCTAATCTTTTCCAGCCATTTGTGGATTTTTTTCCATCTGTGTGTGGAATATTTTTTTCAATGCACCAAAGCATGTGTGAATGTGCACCACCAGTATAAACAAAAAATCTAACTGGCAGTGCTCTGCTATTCAGCTGAGTAGCATTTGAATATCCCCTGAGGGGCTGCACAAGTGCACAGCTCACAGGGATCCAGGAGTCTTAATGGAGGGTTCTTTGACTCAGAAATTCACTTTCCATGTTAGTTTGACAAAGCAAGTCTATTTATTTCCTAGACACAAGCCAAAGCTCAGATTTTCTCCCAGCATTTGAGTGAGGGGGCTGGATGAACAAGTAAATAGCTGGCTTGAGGGGAAGGTCAGTGGAGGCTTTTGTAATAATGGTGTTGAAAAATATTTGTTTCTTTCAAATGTAAAATCTGGCCTTGAGTGTTTATACCAAGATGTGTTTTACATTTACAAATTAACTAAAAATAAACTTTCCAGTGAGCTGTTCGAGCAGAGGAGCAGACTGGGAAGCCCCGCGTAGGCATGTTTGTGAATGCCATTCTGTGTTTGATTTGGAAGGGTTATGGAAGCTAAGTGACATTAGACAGGCAAACTTGTTTGGTAGGAGTGACTTGGCATCGTAACCTCACAGAGCATTGCTCCTTCCCTTAGTCTGTTAAGGCCAGGCCTTACACCAAGGGAGGAAGTCAACCTAAGAAAAGCAACTCCAGCTACATGAATAGCATAGCTGGAGTCAACGTACCTTAGGTTTAATTTTTGCGGTGTCTCCACTGCCAAAGGGCAATGGGAGAAACTGGCTTAGTCCTTTCTTCTAAGCACTACAGACTCCCGAGAGGTGATATGCCACACAACATAATTTTCCAGCTGCTTCTATTTTTGTGTTGTGTGAAAATGAACATAAGAACAGCCATACCGGGTCAGATCTAGCCCAGTATCCTTCTTCCAACAGTGGCCAATGTCAGATGCCCCAGAGGGAGTGAACAGAACAGGTAATTATCAAGGGATCCCTCTCCTGTCGTCCATTTCCACCCTCTGTCAAACAAAGGCTAGGGACACCATTCCTACTCATCCTGCCTAATAACCATTGATGGACCTAACTTCCATGAATTTATCTTGTTCTTTTTTGAATCCTGTTAAAGTCCTGGTATTCACAACATCCTCTGGCAAGGAGTTTCACAGGTTGACTACACGCTGCATGGAAAATAACTTTCTTTTGTTTGTTTTAAACTTGCTACCTATTAATTCCATTTGGTGACCCCTAATTCTTATGTTATGGAAACAAGTTAATAATTTTCCTTATTCACTTTCTCCATACCTGTCATGATTTTACAGACCTCAATCATATCCCCCCAATCTCCTCTTTTCTAAGCTGAAAAGTCCCAGTCTTTTTAATCTCACTTCATATAGCACCCATTCTAAACCCCTCATCATTTTTGTTACCCCTGAACCATTTCCAATGCCAATATATCTTTTTTTTAGATGAGGCAACCACATCTTTACGCAATATTCAAGATGTGGGCGTACCATGGATTTATTCTCTGTCTTAATCTCTATCCCTTTTTTAAATGATTCCTAACATTCTGTTTGCTTTTGTGACTGCTACTGCGCACTGAGTGGGTATTTTCAGAGAACTATTCACAATGACTCCAAGATCCAAGAATGGTTATAACCAAATTAGTTCCCAACATTTTGTTTTCAGTGTATAGTTGGAGGGAACACCTTTGGTTTGTGCTTGACAAAAGCCTGATTTCTGTAAGGGACTAGTGATTAAATATTGACTGAGGTCAATGCCTCTGTTCTGCAAACTAAAGTCTGAGTTACAGCTTGCCTCAGTTTGCTAACTCAAAATAAGCCAACGTGCAAAAAGGCATTCTACAAAGTCAAAACGAAAGCTAACTCTGTTTTTTTTAAAAAAACTGGGTTCAGGTAAAAAATAAATCAGTTCCACTTAAAACAATTTCCTCTGATTTCTTTAAGCCGTTACTCCTGGACACTTCAGCTGCTAGTTTGCTTTGTTTCTATGCCTAAATATCTCCTTGCTCAGGAGCTGTCATTTGTAAGGGCATTTTCTCAGTGGTTAGTGGGGGAATATGGGAGAAGGATATGTTAACTTGTGTTTTAAACCCCATTGCCAATAAGATTCCATTTAACTCTGCTCCTTTCACTGGAATGTTGCTCCTGGTTTTGTCTCCTGTTTCTAGATTTTACAAGATCTTTTTCCTGTGCTGTGTGAGACACTGAGAATCCAGCCTTTGGGACAAGAAGGGAATTAAAAGATGAAGAAATGGCAAATGTTTTTCATTCTGGCCACCTGGCTTCCAATGCTGTTCGGTAAGTCCAGTAAATCTACTAGCTGGGTGAGTAATACCAGAAATGCAGGTGGAAACTGTCACAAAGAAGCTGGTACTAACTGTAAAGAAGCCTTCAGGAAGCTCATACTTGCAAAAGTTTTTTTGGCATTTCCAACTCCATTATAAATTGGGGAACTTTAAATATTCCAGCAACGTGGATATGATGAATGAAGGGGTGAGAGAAACCAAGAACCTCACTCTGCACCTTCCCAATCTCCAAATCAGACAGGACCTAGACCTTATTTTGAGGTTTTAAAAAAATATGGCTTATATGGGAATTTATAATGGGATAGCGAGCTTTTCTCTGTCGAGGTGGCTGGATGAAATCCAGTTCTGGTCCCAGAGCAGTTACCATCTGCTAGATGGTCCGAGTCAAATGATCTGGTTGTCTCTGGCCAGTCCTCGATGGACAGGTGTTCATACTGTAGTAACCACCATGATTAGTTTGGGTTGGCTTCGGTACGGGAAGTAGCTAAGCAAAGAGGCGAGGGAGATCCTATCTTGTCATTAGGAATAAGTCTTTCTAGATTAGTAGAGCCCTGCGGGTGGGATCCTGCACTATCTGCGGGAAAAGGACACCACAAACTCCGTCATAAATCTCCCTGCAGGGGGGGCTAAGTGCTGGCTCTGTCTGACCACCTCCTCCCACCCGCCTGATGAGCACTGACCTGCAGAGATCCGGTTCCTGCTGCCCCTTACTCCCAATCCCTGCTTTTGTGCTCCCTGCCTCTTCCCTGCATGATCCTACCCCCTCCTCGCACATCTGAGCTCTCCCTCCCCTCTCCCGTCCCAATGGTTTGCTGTGCGGAGACAAGTAAAATCCGGAGTGCGGATTGCGGATCACATGATGAGTTGAGCCTGGCGGATGCGGATCAGATGCAGATCCTCGTGTTTATATCCACACAGAGCTCTATAGAGCAGGGTGCTGCCTCTCAGGAGTGCAGGTCTGGAAGGCCTGCGGTGCTACTGCCTGTGCCTTTTCTGCACTTCGGAAGAGAGGAGTTCCTTCCCCAGCCCACCACCTTGCAAGAGTCCTTCACTGACTACAAAAACCCGCTCCCATTGCGGTAGGTTTAAAAAAAGGCAGCTCACTGTAGGTTGAGCCTCTCTAGTCCGGCACCCTCGGACCTGACCGGTGCTGAACCAGAGAATTTGCTGGGCCACCGGAGGTGACTATTGTCTGGCAGCATTGCCAACACTCCCACTGCTAACTGGGCTTAGAGACGTGTAGGGGTAAATTAGAGCCGAATAACAGCACAGAATATTGAGAGCCAAAGCTGGCAGTGCAAACAAACTTTATGGGACTGCAGGAAACTTGGCCACACTCATGATACGGGGACATCCAGCTCACTAAAATCATGCCAGACCATGGATATTGCCGGGCCAGAGAGGCTCTGTATAACCAGAGCTAAGCTCATCATTTTGCTATTCACAAGCACACTGACGTGGCCAGTTGCCCATGCACTCAGATATCTGTGCTCCATCTGCTCCAGCATGCAAGTTGAGCAGGCAAGAGATCTCTCCAGTCATTCTGCAGTGTAACTTGGTTACATAAAGCAGTGCAGGGGCTAGTGTGGGATACGGATGATGTCATTCTAACCTTAGCAGTAAGTCCATAGCAGCCTGTCTTTTGATGTGGCTGCTTCTGCAAAGCCCAGAGTTATTCCCACTTGCAAAGTAAACCTGATCAGCACTGCAGAATTACTTGTCTACAACAAAGATCTGCAAGGCAAACCCTATGCTAATATTGCACAGTAAAGTTCCTTCTAGCGGGTTTTTTTTTGTTTCGTTTTCTTTGTTTTGCCATTGATTGCTTCTGTCTCGCCACAGGGGAATAAGAACTTCCTTGTTTTTAATTTTGTTTTTGTTTTTTTTTTGTAGCAGAAAGTTGCAGCGATATTCCTAAGGTTGACAACAGCATTGCAGTTTTTTGGGGTGCTGATGAGGGAAAACAAGTCACATACACGTGTTCCAATGGTTACCATCTCTTTGGAGAAAAAACTCTTTCTTGTGCGTCTTCCGGGGAGTGGCATGCACCTGCACCCATCTGCAAAGGTAACAGGCTAGCTCTCCCTGTTTGTTTTTTGAGAGTGACGTCCAGATATGTTTAGCCTTTTGAAGGGCTATGCCTGACCCCATGACACTTGTTTCCCAAGCAGAATCCGTAGGCAAGTTTTTATAAAGTGGCTAGTGTTTCTACAGATCCAACTGGAGATGTCTTGGAGGAGTCTAATTTTCCAAAAATATTGCACACTTTCCCTCTTAATAAAAGCCAAACCAAAGGAGGCTCCTTTTAAAGCTGCACAAGTTGGGTGTTGAGAAAGTCACTTTGTAAAACCTTGGCTGTAGACCATTGCCCAATTGTATAGCCCTTCCACAGTCTCCTTTCTGCTGTGTCTCTTAAGAGATGGTGACCAAAACTGCCCATGAGGCATGATCCGAACACCCAGTCCACCACAGCCTCTGGGTTGTGCCTCTACCATGGGGTTCACATGGTCCTGCTTTGTATCTGTGGTCTTTAGGTTGGATGGGAGGAAGAGTAGTTTTGTGGAAGATCAAGGGTAGTTCTTAAAACACAGGACTCCAAATCTTCTATTAGTTCTGCTGTATACTCACTGGGTACCCTTGGGCCAGTCACTGTGTGCATCAGTTCCCCCATTCTGTGAAAGGGTCCGATTAATACTTGCCACGGCGGTGTAGCGAGACTTCATTCATGTGTGTAAACATTGTTTAATTTCCTGCCCACCCTGCACGTGGTTCTTCCAGCTGTGACTTCCAGAACTTCCGAACCAGGCACAGAAGATGAAGAAAGTGAAGCATTAGTAACGGAGGAAATAATACAGAGTATTTCTGCAGCTGTGGTAAGAGGCAACAATGTCTGTGCTGCTGCTGGATTTATCAATCGCTTAGTAAGCACGTGAGAGCTAAGCAGCAAATCTGTTGCTGCCGCACCTTCCTCATTCTAAGTGGGGAAAACAAATGTTTTTAACTTTGGGTTGAAAAGTCTACACTATTGCCATGAACTAAGGCCCTGGATCAATCTTATGTCAACCAAACTATATGTCAATCCACCAAAGTGTCTATATCAATGTAGCTATACCAATGGAAACTAGGGATATTAGATATCGAGTAATTGAATAATCGTGTAACCACATCAAATATTAGCTGTTACATGATTATCCTGAGCACCGGCTCCTGCGTGCCCTGTAACCCCGCCTGTGTGGGAGGCAGCAAGGTGGGAGCAGGCTGCTCTGTGGAGCCAGCATGCACAGGGAGCCGTCTTAAAAGGTAGTGTTCTGCGTATACCGGCTCCCTCCTGCCCCCCTCATCCTCTGCGCTGCTGCATCTCTGAGGCAGCAGTGTATGGGGTATAGTGGGGGGCAGGTGGCTCGGCAAGATCTGGTGTTCATGGGGAGCTGGCTTAAAGGCCGGCTCCCCACGGGCACCAGCTCCCACTTCACCCCCACTTGCTGCCTCTGATATCGAGGTAGCAAGGGGAGGGAGTGCATGTACAGGATTAACTGATAAACCCAGACTTACCAGGTAATCGTGTAGTCAAGTACAAGCTGACATCCATAATGGAACATGAAAGCCCTTTATCGACCTCCCCGTTATGCCTCATAGGATGAGGTTTACCGGGGAAGTTGATAAAGGGCTTTCGGGTTGGCAGGGGAGCGTCCAGACTAGCGCGCTGAGCCGACAAACAGCTGATCATTTAAATTTAAATGAAGCCGCGATTATTTAAATTGCGGCTTCATTTCCCTTTGCCGAACAAACAAATCTACATGGCTCTGTCGACGGAGCCATGTAGTTTAGACATACCTGTAGAGTTAGAAGTCATGAGTTAACACCCTGGAAGGGGCTTTTGGGGTGGGGAGGGCTCTTGGGTCACAAAATAAATACAGATGAGTCTGGATTCTCTCTGACTCAGTCATGCGCCTTCTGTTGTGTGTTTCTTAGAGAAGTCCCCACCTGTCTGCTTCTGTCTGCGAGGACGTGCGTAAGCTGACAGAGTCCCTGTCATGTGGAATAAACTTGATTGAAATCAAAACCATAATGGAAGTGGAGAAACTCCACTTGGAAAAGCTAAAATTCCAGCAGGAGGGACGGCAAGTCACCAACTGATGTATGCCGAAAGGACTAAATAAATGCCATGCCCCACTTGTTGGTCTGGGTTTTTTTTTGTTGGATGGGGTCCCCAGCCCCTGTTGGCCAGAAGCTGGGAATGGGTGGCAGGGGAGAGATCACTGGATAATTATCTGTTCTGCTTGTTTCTTCTGGGGCACCTGGCACTGTCAGAAGACAAGACACTGGGCTAGATGGACTTTTGTCCTGATCCCGTGGTTATGTTCTGGTCTCCTTTTTAAGTTTTCATGTTGATTTGGTGCTCGTGCCATACTAAGGGCACCATCGTCGACAGTGAACAATGCACTGTGGGTATGTATGCCACATTGCTGTGTGGTGGGAAAGCAGAGCTGATCACCCTGCACGTCCTGGCATTCCCTCTGAGTGCTCCCACAGCCTCCTCAACTGCTGGAAGAGGCATCATGAGTAACTCTGGGATGAATTAATAAGCCACACATCAGTCTGCCTGCCACTGTGTTCCTAGCAGGGCAGAACAGGACTATTCCAATGTTGGCAACTTGTTCCCCCAAAGGTGCAGCTCGCTCAGCTATCAGATACTTTCCAGAGCTTTGAAAGGGGGAGGGGTGCATGCCTGCAGAGCAGCAGAGATCAACACGCTGAGCACAGCCATCAGGGCAGGCATTGTGGGATACTGGTGGAAGCCAGTTCTGTTGACAAAACAAACAGCAGTGTCTATACTGGCTCTTTGTGGACAATAAAGGGAGGAGAAAAGAGAGAAGTCTCTCATGAGGTAGAAGTTTTTTGTTGCTGAAACAATGTGATTTTCCCAGTAAAAGTCACATTGAGGTGTGTACGCTCTCATTGTTTTGTTGCCAAAAAGCAGTTTTTGGTAACAAAACTTGGCGGCATAGACAAAGCCTTATTTTTGTTGCTCTTCTCTGGATTTTTTTCCCAATTTGTTCACTTCTTTCTTAAAGCATGGTGCCCCCTATGGGACATTGTACTCCAGTGGAGGCCTCACAGCACCAGTTAGAGTGGAACAATTCCTTCCTCTGTCTTACCTAGAAGACTCCTGTCAATACATCCCAGAATGTTTTGGGTGTTTTGGGTTGTTTGGTTGGTTGGTTGGTTTGTTTGGGGCTTTTTTGCTACAGCATTACGTAGCTGTTTCAGGAGAAGAAGTGCAGCTTTTGCCATTGTAGGCACCATGGCTGGTATTTTCAGGGGGGCCAAAAAGAGGGAATAGTTCAACTCCCACTGAAATTCAGTGAGACTTGGGGGGCTAGCTCCCCTGAGCAACTTGAAAAATTCCAGCCTGAATAATTTTTTAATGAATTCAGAGACACTTGGAGAAACTATTGAAAAACCTCCATCATAAAATACCATCAGGGTCAGGAGACGTCTACTCATGTATATACAAACTGTTGTGGATTTTTCACTGAGATGGTCCCTTTTGGTATATGCCAAATAGTTGCTCTTTATAGTACTGTAATTATACCCTAACTGGTATGTGCACCATTCCTTGTTTGCTCTTGGAACAATGAACTATTCAACCAAATTCCAGAGAACTCTTTATTCAAGTCATTTTCAGTAAAGAGTTGGCAGACTAGCGCAGTAAGTAAACAATTTCGACATCTGCTTGGGATTAAATGAATTATCTAACATTTTATTTCAGGTTGAATAAATTGCTTCCTGGTCATTTTAGAGGAGGAGTTAATCATTCAGAGATAAGCAGGTGTGTACCCATCCTCCCCAACCCTCCCCCTCACCCCAGCCCCAGATCAAAACCTAGTTTCAATTTCACCATATCTCAGCACTTCTGCATGTGTAAGCATATTGTGCTACCTTCTTGTTTTGGCAAGGTAATGTCTGGGTGCAGGACGGGCTAGAGTGGTAAAGTCAGAGACACCACTTCATCGTTCGGTAACCAAATAGACCCCAGCACATGCTGCCTCTTGCTGACAATCATCTAGGTAAGTTGACTGATTCCAGACCAGCTATTTAAAGCAACATTTCTCCGAGAGAGGCCAAGGGGAATGCATTGGGGGAGGAAGCAGGAAATTCAGAACCATTAACTAACAATCAATATAATTATTTTAGCAAATATTCCCATGTGTGCAGGTATTAGTAAATGAAGCAAAACTGGATGCCATACCTAGCAGAGGAGGGGGAGTTAGCAAAGCAGAGCGAAAGCTAGAAGTGTTAGTTTTAAAGGAAAGGAGAGTGAAGAGAGGGAGAGGAGATATCTAGAGACAGATAGAAAAAGGGACTCTAGGTGATTTTAAAACAAGTACTGATTGGACGCTAAAAACTTCAGTCTGAATCTCTTGCAGTTGTTGATATGGGGCAAATCTTTTCAAAAGGGACTAAAGATCATTTTTGAAAGGGACTTGGGCACTGAGGGTCTGACCCTGAATCATTAAAATCAAGAGAAGTTTTGCCATTGACTTCCGGAGGTAAGGGGAGGGGCAGGGTCAAGAAGCCCATAGATGCCCGAGTCACTTGAGCCCTTGTGAAGTTTTCACCCCAGTCACCACTGACTCGTACACAGCTCTGACTCACACGCTTTCTATATGTTCCGCACATGTGGGAGTAATGTATTACGTGGCTGTTGTGTTGACGCCAGTGGGATCTGTACCTGCCCATGTATGACAGGATTTGTTCCATAGAGATTTACGAATAGAACATTTTTTCCTGACAGTATATTCTAGTGGGCTGAGAAGAAAGATGTGGAGAAATTGGAGAGGGTCCAGAGAAAAGCAACAAGAATGATGAAAGGTCTAGAGAACATGAGCTATGAGGGAAGGCTGAAGGAATTGGGTTTGTTTAGTTTGGAGAGGAGAAGATTGAGGGGGGACATGATAGCAGTTTTCAGGTATCTAAAAGGGTGTCATGAGGAGGGAGAAAACTTGTTCATCTTGGTCTGTGAGGATAGAACAAGAAGCAATGGGGTCAAACAGCAGCAAGGGAGGTTTAGGTTGGACATTAGGAAAAAGTTCCTAACTGTCAGGGCGGTCAAGCACTGGAATAAATTGCCCAGGGAGGTTGTGGAATCTCCATCTGTGGAGATATTTAAGAGTAGGTTAGATAAATGTCTATCAGGGATGGTCTAGACCAGTTGTCCCCAACGCGGTGCCCATGGGCACCATGGCGCCCGCTGGGCCATTTCTGTGTGCCCGCCGAGTGATCAGGGCCACCCCCGGGCGTGCG